CCCTCTAACTCCACATAGACATAAATAGCATAATCAGAGTAAATTAGTATACATTTTAAAGAGGGCGTCACAAATGACTTCACAAAACGATAAAAAAATTCAAACATGCATATTAGTCATGATTATAACACATATTCAAATTCACGTTTCATACACTAATACAAAATATACATCTCGCAGCGGAATAACTATCTCAGTATAAAGATATAAATGATTAAAATCTCATACTGACAACCATATCATAAGTACTAGGCATTATGGCCAAATATCACATAATCTCATACATATCTAGATAAAAGAGAGTAATGACAAATATCTCTCAAAACAAATCAAACATGAGTTCAAATATCTTTCGTGTTACATAGACCATAGAAATGACTCACTACCTAGGAATAAGCAGATAAGTAAGGATCTAGCTCCTCTTTTAATCCTGGCAAGAAGCACCTCTATCTCTAGTACCTGAGTGATGTCGTATAAAACATCATTCCAACAGAAGGGTGAGAATTCATATCATTATGAAAATATATAATCACAAGCAATGTAAAACATACATACACCAATATGAATTCATCACTCTTCATAAAACCAAATTTTAGACATAATATAATCCACTATATCAATCCACATATACAACATAGCTCGTCAATTCATATTCCAAATAAAATTCAATTCCAATTATCACAATTGTACAATTAAATCAATTATCACATGTTACACATCAAAATACCACATTCACACTAATATTACATAATGAGTGATAATGCAATAATTCACATCGACACATGTGACTCTAATGCAACTCAAATTCATTATGTATGTGGTACCAATGTTATCCTTACCGGTCATGTCGGGTCCACATCTCCAAGACAGATAACCACCAATAAAAGTTTGATTCATCCTTAAGCTTTCAAACCCATTAAGCGTTAGGTTTGGGACAAGTCAATAGTTCCCACGAAATTACCAAATCTTGCCTCTTGACACAAATGATGCACGTACATGTGCAATTTTAACAACTCATCACATAATTTAACACATTTTGAATTATCTTCATAACATTGCACAACATACATCTTTCATGCTAATCAAACACAAATACACAATCTCGTAGTATAAATCATCTAAACACATTATTATAACATGTAGCAATTAGATACAAATCATTCTATATTCAAACATCATCAAATTCTAACACTTACATACACAATTCAAGTGTTAAATTTCTCATCAAAACGCTTTCAAAACCAATCGAATCAAGTCAAATAAATTATTAAAATACATGTAAATCCATGATAAATCATAACATACAAGATCTCAATCTCATTCATTCATAAAATACTTTTTCAACTTGCAGCCATCCGCGCTAAGCGCCCCCTGCAAAAACCAGAAAAATTTCTACGAACAACATTTTGTCCGTACACGAAAATCCATATTGAGACATGTTCTAGTGCCCATTTTTCATCAAATAAACATATTCTAACATGTATACATCATAAGGAACTTATTTATATCATAAAAACTAGATTTCAAAAACCTAATTTCCAAATCCCTAAATTAATTTGGGTGATTCAAAACCTTGAAACTCACATATCCAATCCTATTACATTTTACTACCCATCATATGCTCCCATAATAACACAGATTCTCACCCTTACCTTGAGTGTAGAGTCTTTAGGGTTGCCTCTTCACTTTTTCTCTTTTATCCTCTTTCTCCTCTTGTCTTTTCTTCTCTTCTTTGTTTTTGTTTTATGACAACAATAATTCTAATCCCTCTTCTTACTACTCTATTTCATTAATAGATCTAATTCTACTTACCCATTCTATTATGACATAAAGCTCAATTCTAATTATTTTTTATTCTTACTCATAAATTCAATTATTCAAATAACACATATACTTAAATAATTCAAATATTCATCCAATTACATAATTAAATTAATTACTATATAATATACTAATTAATAAAATAATTAAATAATATTAAATAAAAATCAGGACATTACACTTCGAAGTAAGCAGATACATATTTGATTTGTGAATATATAAGTTTTTATCATCAGAAAGATATGGTATAGATTCTTTCTTAAAGATGATTAAAACTATTGATGTAGTTGTTTAACGAACATATATTTAGTTTTTATTTTTATTTATTCAGTGGTCATATCTGACTGGTTAAAATCTAACTATCAAAGGTACTCTACTTTCTAGGCTCTCCTAATTCTATCATATTTGATCTCGAAATATATCATTTTACTTTGTTGAAACTTAGAATGATTACAATGTAAGTTTGTACACACACTACACTAAAAAAGACTTACGAAAGCGCTTTTTTTGGCCTTTAAAAACGCTGTCTATGGTGGCGCTGCTATAGGTTTTAGCAGCGCTTTTTGTTTAATGAAAAGCGCTTTCGTAGGTCTACCTAATACAACACTTTTTCTAAAAAGCGCTCTCTTAAGTAGGCTTTTGGCAGCGCTTTTTTATGAAGAAGCGCTTTCATAGGTCTACCTATGGCAGCGCTTTTTTCTGGAAAAGCGCTCTCATAAGTTTTCTTTTAGCAGCGCTTTTTCTGGAAAAGCGCTGTCTTAGGTAGGCTTTTAGCAACGCTTTTTTCTGAAAAGCGCTTTCATAGGTGGTCTTTTAGCAGCGCTTTTGCCTTGAAAAGCGCTGTCATATGTTTACCTTAGACAGCATTTTTTATGAAAAAGCGCTTTCATAGGTTACCTAAGGCAGCGTTTTTCTTGAAAAAGCGCTTTCATAGGGTGTTTTTTTTAGAGGTATAATTTATATAATTCATATACCTGCATTGTTTGCAGCATATTATTTATATAAACCAGTTGTCATAACAATTGTAATCCAAAATATATATACACTATTTTTGTACCTCAAAATATATAAAAACCATTGTTATCAAGATTGTAACTCAAAATCAGTCTTACAAAATCAACCCTAACAACAACTAAACCAGTCCTAATGTATGAAAGAAACACGGTCAATTATGTATTAAGGTCCTGATCCTGCGAGGTTTGAACATAATAACACGGTCAATATGGTATTCCATGTACACATGTAACGTATTCATAACACTTTTCACATAATAATGTATTCATACCTTATATGATTCTCTGCTCAATAAAATATTGACACAATTCCTCTTTGATTTCTTCCAACTGAAGTTTCGTGTAATATGCACATTTGTATTCATCGAAGTACTACATAACAAAACATAATATGCATGATTTAGTTAAAAGTAAAAAATTATATGAAATATCCGAGAAATAATAAAAAAAATCCTAAGTTATAAATCCATACCGTGACTGGAATCTCTATTTGATTCAGTTGAAGGATTTCTTTGATAACCCACATAACAAAGTATCCGCAATCTATACCGTTTTGCTGTTGAGGACACTACATAGAAAAACAAATAAGAATATATAGTTGTATTGTTTTATCAAATAGCATAAATATTATAAGCAAAATAGTGGAAATTAATATACTTGCACTTTGATCCAATTAATGTTGTTGGATTTAGACCGTCGTACCCGAGCTTCTCTTTGACACCGGAATACCTGTATCGCTCTAACAAAATAAAAATATATATTTAGAACAATGTCACAGAAATAATTAAATATATAAATACACACAAATATTTAGAATAATCTCACTTACGTATCAATCATTAACTTCATATCCGGATAATTTGTCCAATCACCGTCAACCGAATTCAGATAATAGACCACTTCTTTTATAGGATCGATAGCAACCAACAACCAGTGACGTCTATAAATTAAAACAACAGTTTAGAAGAAAATTTTCTATGCAAAAATTACAAATATTAAAATGAACTTAGAATGAAAATCTAACCCTGTAGGAATAGTATTATACGCCCAAAGATATAAGTTTTCTGTACTGCCAGTTGCCATGAATCTTTCGACTAAGTGCTCTCTTACTGAATCCGGTTCCCTACCATTTGTCGCTCCGCTGACACGGGAGGAAGACACGAAATGGAATTTGTTTGACAATTGATTCCCGCGCATCAATTTGTCATATAACAATCTTAAATAAAAACATAATTAATATTAGACTATATTCATTGAAATGTTTAAAAAAATTTTCAGCTAATTACATAATATAAAGATGGGGTTACCGGATGTATGCGTGCATAACACTGACGCCTAATTCTTTATGACGGAAAATCTCTTCCACATCCTCATGTCCAATTATTTCGGTGCAAGGAAAACCAAAGATACCTTGATCCATATCCATTTGACGAATACCACCATCCATCAAATCTGTTGTTCCCACTATTGTTTCAAGACACTGCCGATATCGAGGGAAAAATCTAGTAGGAACCCTTTTCTTGGGTGGTACGCCAATGATTTCTCTCTTAGGAACTTACAAATCATAAGTAGGAAAACTGAGAAATGGTAGCAAAACATAATGGTAGCAACTTAAACTCATCTTTTCATCCAGTACCTTCACAAAATAATGAGTTGAACCATCCCTCATGAATACAAAACTCAAACAAATACATGAAAGCAGAGAAATGCAACAAACAGAAGGAAAAAAAAACACAAATAAAAATGAGAAAATGTAAGTTAGCCTGGCAAGTAGCTGCTACAACAACTCAAAATGAAAAGACATGAGCATATTAGTGGTTTAAGGTATTTGAAAACAAAAGACACGTTGAATCATGTGGTGAGACATTATTAGTTATAAAACAATGAAGACACGCGGAATTCAGCCTGGCCATTAAGCACGGTTTAAGGTATCTGAAAATGCTTGATGTAAAGACATACATGCCAGTCAAAATGCACATTTAGTAACTTAAGAGAGGCAATGTAATCATATATCTTACATAAATAATGACTTTTAAAATGAAAATTGCACAACAAAGTGATTTATTAGTAATTGTTTCACTAATTACTGAGTGAAAAAGTAAGTTGTACATTCTATAATATCATCACATGTAGTTTAGCTCTGCATTAAACCTTGTTTCAAACTTATCAACGAACTGAATCAAACTTCCTAAACATATCACAGTGAGGTGTTTCTCTGATATATCTCCATTGGCGTCCCTGCATCTCAAACTGACAATTCTGGCGAAGAATACCAAAGTATTCTCTCTCAACTCTTTCCTCAATTATAAGACGCTCGCGGCTATCCAAGGGATAATCTTGTTCAAACTTTGTGGACTTAACATAGTAGTTAACCCCCTTAGGGGTAGTAAGCCAGTGTTCAAAGGGATAGTTTTGCGAAAGAGTGTCGACAGGATCTGGCGAAGGCAAAAAGTTAATAAGTAAAATGAGAAGCACAAGAAGCACCTGAATCAAAGCTCAGACATTGAATCTGTCAGAGCCATTATCAGCAGCAGGCTGTCTATGAGCCATCCCCGACCCTACAAAACTAAACCCATAGAAATTAGCAGCATGGGCCATTCCTCCAAAGAAGAAATTCCTAAATATTTCCTCACCTTCAACATCAGCATCATAGTAAACATTAAAACCTCTTGCAGAAGTCGGTCTGGCAGCATCACGCCTTTCATAAACCACTTCATCTTCTCCACAAACATCATACTTTCTCGCCAAGCAGTATTAAATCAAAGAGAATATGATCATGTGGTTGTATAAATCAAAGACAATGGAGTAAGCTGGTGCGAAATCAGTAAAAAAAATCCAATATAAAACTTAACAGAATTGACAGGTTCAACTTTTAAGTGCAAAAATGAAGTGTAATCATCATAACCTACAAAGAAATATATGCCATATACACAGTTCAAATAAGCTTATAAACATTATAAATATAATGAAAAGATTTAGAAGTTCATTAAGTGGCTTAATCGAAAAGCAATCACGGGTTTAATGAAGCGGTAACGTTCACAAAACCGCTTCCCATGTCAAATTGAGTTGCTGGAGAGGGATACGACCGCTGAGCCATTACTGGCTTCCCATTCAGGAAATCATCTAAAGTAGTTATACATGACGACTTCTTTTTCGTTTGTTTCCGTTCCTTTCTTAGACACTTTCAATCCATAAGATAAATAAAATTCTGAAATAGCCAGTAAGAATAAATAATATCAAAAACCAAAACTCATATTTATGACATTCAAACTCTAAATAATTTACTGAAACTAAATGCCCAATCTATAACAGATCTTTGTTTGCACATATCTAACTCACTTGGCCATGGTACTTGAAAACCTTAGATCTAGATCCAGATCCAGTTTCTTCACCATCGAACTCATACGTGTGACACTCTCCATTATTTCTCTCTTAGCATGTTACTCTCTATTATTTCTCTCTTAGCATGTTACTTCTATGCACAACTTCTTAATAACTTCTATGACAGTAGAAACCATGCTTGCTCAAAATCATTAACCAAACAAAAGCACACGAAAATCAGACAAACACATACGAGATGAGGAAAAAAATGAAACCTGATACGAATTGCAGTTGGCCGGAGAAGTGGAGCGCCGTTGACCGTCGTAGAAGCTCTGGTTTAGGGTTTTTTCCTAAAGAAAATCTGACTGAGAATAGAAAAGTGATACGAATTGTGTTTTGATATTTATTATAAAACTACCTACGAAAGCGCTTTTAAAAGCGCTTTCTAAAGGTCATCTATAACAGCCCTTTTACATCAAAAAGCGCTTTCGTAACATATCCTATAGCAGCGCTTTTAAAAGCGCTTTCTAAAAGTCAGCTTTAGCAGCGCTTTGAAAAAGCGCTTTCTAAGGCTGACCTTTAGCAGCGCTTTTGAAAAGCGCTTTCTTAAGGTACCCTCTGAAAGGTCAGCTTTAGCAGCGCTTCCCAAAAAGCGCTTTCTAAGGGTGACCTTTAGAAGCGCTTTTGAAAAGCGCTTTCTTAAGGCACCCTTTGAAAGCGCTTTGTTAAGCGAATTTTTTTTAAAAATCTACAGCAGTGCTTTTTTCCAAAAGCGCTTTCTTTTATGTTCTGCTAAAACTTATTTTTGGCGTAATGATAATTATTAACATGGGAATATGCATGTACGAATCAGAAATGAACGTGCGTCTGGTTCTCCGAGCTTCTAAATGATCTAATGAAGTCATAAGCTTAGAAATGTATTTCTATAACTACGAGGTGCATAGATTTTTTACGGGGTGTTTGTCAATCAGAAACAAGTATGTATTTGTGTGTTTGTTAATTCATACTGTTCGTTTTGTTTACACTGCAGATTATACCTCTTGTGAGCCCAACAAAAGCCATTATGCGGGCCCGTGTGTCAGTTTATAGCTGGCATGAGTTATTTCCCCATGGTAAAAACTTTGGGAATAAATGAAAATGAATGTAGTTCATATCTGAGATTATTCTTGATACCATCATATTACTATTCAGTTAAGCCAATACTCTATTTAGTTCAAAAAAACTTAATGCAACTTTTTTTTAATCAATTTTTGAGATTTTGATTTTTTTTCTTCTTTTGTTGGGATTTTGCTGGTATCATATAGGACCTTTGTTCCACTTTAGATTTGACATATAGCACTTGTCTCTCTTATGTATATAATTATGTATATAATTATGTATATAATGTGTAATCAAATTTCCTTTGTATAATTATTTTAATACAATTCGATTATATAATGATTGATTATAAAATTAAATTTATTATTTTATATTTACACATGTAATTAATAACACTATAAATAATATGCGTAAATGATGTAGTATATTATTTAACATCAAAATAAAATTTGATTATTTTCTTTTTCATTGATACTTTACTATTTATTTTAAAATAAACATATCCCTTATAGTAGATGCTTTTATATTTTTAGGTTATTTAACTTCTTTAAAATCAGTATTGATTTTTATATTTTAAATTTGTAGAGATAATTAATTTTTTATTTTACGGATCACTATCAAAATAATCATTATTAAAAAAAATTATTTTTATATATTATTTTTTTCTCTGTGTCACGGTTCGTTTTTTTCCTTTTATTTATATAATTATTTATTATAATTAAATTTATATGATTATTATTCATTTTATAAATAAGTAAATCATTTCAAATTTTATATTTATATCTAAAACTTTACATTTACATTTGTTAAAAAAAATTTTTTTATGATTATTTAATATTTTATTATTTAATACAGTTAATTTTCTATAATTATTATTTATTTCAAATTTAATTATACTATATGTATTGTGTCTAAATTTATTTAATTATATTTATCTCTTTTTCTTTATATTATTAAACTAATAATTTACATTTTTATTATGCAAATTATTTATAATTTCTTTTATTTATATTACTCATATCGTTTAAAAAATACTATATAAAAAAAAATTCATATGTGCGGAAGCATTGGTCTCTAACTAGTAGATATATATTATAATATTTTATCTATATCCTATCCATTGTCATTCTTTGATTTTGAATATGCTATTTTATTTCATTCGCGAAATTAATTCTTTTATTTAAAATTTAAATAGTTTTGATCTATTTTCTTATATTTTTGGTTTAAAATTTATTATTGTGTATTTTTTTTAACGTGAAACTTTATTTTTAATAATAATTTATAATTTTTTAATAATGTGTAAATAAAAAACATATAACTTATATTTTTTTATTTTTAAATGTTTTTAATTTTTATCTCATTTTCAAAGTTTTGCATTGAAAATTAATTACATGTTGATTTTTTAATAACATATAACCTTATATTTAAGTGCAAAAATATTTTAAATAGTTTATGACATTTTAAAAATGACATATCATTTAAAATTATTTAAATTTAAGTTATAAGAATTAATTTCGTAAATGAGGTAAAAAGAAAGATCGAAAGTATATAATTAAATGATATTTTAATTAATCTTTTAATAATTTATATGAATTTAATTGGTATGTATTGACAATGTAAAACAGTTTTATATTGTTAGTGAATTGTGATCGTTAAATATTTATTAAATTTTAGTTTTTATTTTAATTATGTATAAAATAATATTTATTAATGGTTGTGATGCACTGACTTTATAAAGAATTTTACAATAACAGTATATAGTAATTAATCTCAACTTATATTATTTTAAGAGATTAATTATTATATATTAACAGTGTAAAACTTTTTACATGATCAATACATCACTATTATTTACTAATATTATTTAACAAATAATTAAAATAAAAATAAAACATAATTCATAATCTAACGGTCATAATTCATTGACAGTCTAAATTTTTTTTATACTGTTAGAGTATTCTAATTATAAAATATTTGCTGATAAACTGGTAAAATGGTTTTTTAAAATAGAAACCATTTTTTTGGTTTTTCTATTTATTTAGTCTAGAGTTTGATCTTTGGTTGATGTGCAATATTAAAATTTATTCGTTAGGAGAGATCAACTTCTTAAATAAATTATTTCAAAATATTAGTCTCTAGCATGTGCATTTAGGATACGTTTGTTTGCAACAATAAAAGGAATAATATTTTTTAACTCTCAATTTTTTGTTATCACTAAAATGACAGTGCAAAGATTTAATGTAGAAATTGTGATGAAAATAAAATTTCCTATTAACCAATTGTAATTAGAAGTAATAAAAAAAACGCATGTTAGATAAATTGAAAGGTCTTTTGGAAGTTGGTGTCTCCCAAATGCATGATGAATCGTTTTTGTCCCTTTATTCACACAATTGGTCACTTGGCTTTCCTTAGGATATCTTAATATTCATAGTTAAAATAAGTTAATTTTAATTTTTTAAAGAAAACATTGGAAATAAAGATACATTGTTGTTAAGAGAAAAACTAATTTATGTTTCAGGTAATTGATTGCACTTTTATGTTAATCAATTACACCCTACAAAATAACTAACAGAATCTACATCAAGAAAGTGTAATTGGTTGCATTTTTATGTCAACTGATGACATCTATGTAAAAATATTTGAAAAAATTGAATTAGTGGAAAAGTGTAATCGATTAACATAAATATAAATTGATTATGTTGAAAGTGTAATTTCCAGTATTGAAACAAGTTGTTGCTCGATACTAAGTGTGTCGAAAAGCTTAGTCTGTCGAATTGTATTTAGTTGTCGAAGTATTGTAAGTAGATTGTTACACACAAATTTGATTTAGATTCAAAATAGATATTTTGAAATTTTGTGTTTTGGGTTTTGGCTTAAAGAGCAAGCTAACCTAAAACTATAAATAGAGGGAGTAACCCCTATTTTTGTAATCAAATCATAACAACTTGTATTTATAGAATTTTGCAGTTGCTAAATGAATACAGATTTTCCACAGTTTGTGGGCAGAGAATTACTCTACAGAAACCTTAAATCTCTTTTCTTCTTTTCTTTTCATTGTCATTGTGTGGTGATAACAGTCTTGTTCATCAAGATTGATAGAAATTCATTATAGGTTTTGGTAGATTTCCAACATCTGGTATCAAGAGCTCTAGTTGAGCGGTTCAAGACAAGCAAGAACAACGACAATGAATCATCTGAACGGACATTTTCCAGCAAGTCTTCCAATTTTTAAAACGGATAACTATGAGAATTTGTGCAAGCCGATGAAGGTTGTGTTTTGTTATCAAGATCTTTGGGAACTTGTGAAACATAGATTAGAACCGATTGAAGAAGACACTTCAAAAAAGGAAGAGGCAGAATACAAAGAATCGAAGAAGAATAATTATAAAGCTCTTTTTATAATTCATTAATGTCTGAGTCCATGCAATTTCGAAAAGGTTAGTGATGTAGAATATGCAAAAGAAGCCTGGGAGATTTTTAAGATATCTTTTGGAGGTGCTGAGAAAGTAAAAGAGATGAGTGGATGTGGCATTATCAACTTTTTCATCTCAACTTCAGAGACATCAAATATTTGAAGAGAAGAAATATGGTTTCAGGATTACCAGAAATCGACACTCCAAACGAGGTGTGTGAGGAATGTGTGCAAGCAAGGCATCACAAGAACAACTTTAGCAAGGA